TTATTTTGAAAATACGGATGTTGTGCTTGTTCCTTTTCCTGTTGGTGCCTAGTGATATTTGTAGATTGATACCGGAGCAGCTCCAGAGTCTGGCAAAAATTGGATCAAATCTAATTTTGGCGGATCGCCGTCCACTCACCTCCGCCCTGCAGAGCGTGTAAATTATCTCATTGTTTCTACTGGTTGAGTATTTACTGCGGAGGTCGGTCAGCAGTGCAGCAGAGCAGAACGGGTCACTGTATTACTTCCTGCTTTTTCCTGCTCAAGTTTAATTTAAAGAAATAAAATACACATTATATTGTAAAAAAAACTCAGTTGGTGGTGATGATGATATATTTAATTAAAAATAATTACACTAACTATAAAGGAAATCAACTTAAAAAGGAGCAGGAAGGAGCTTATTTACTCCTGTCCTGTGTCAAACTCAAAACTTATTTAGTAAATGTTTCAGCTTGTCCTAAAAACCTTGTTTCTGATGGTAACAATGGATGATCTGAAGTTATAACCAAAGTAGAGTTGATGCTYGGTTAGAAAGAAGAGACTGCTCTGAAACCACTGGAAGAGAAGGTTGTTTGGTGAGAGCATCACTAACGAGCACTGCAACCAGCTAACTACCATTAAGCTAATATGACAGAGCTCTGCTCTACAGGAGACACTTAGAGTGAAACCTGTGAGGACTTAAAGGCAGCTGTAGGTGGAGCATTCAAGTAAATTTACTGGAGTACTTCCGTACAGCTTTAGAGAATATGTACTTTACCTGTAACTCACTCATGGGTTGTCATGTTCCAGCCTGGAGCTGCGAGTGCCTTTCCTGGACCATAGATTCACAGCATACTACCTGTCCCTGCCTGAGGACATGAGGGTTCCTAAGGTTGGTTGATTCAGTGATCCTGGACAGCCCTTGGATCATTGTGGACCCGTCATGGTGTTTTTGTCCTCTGACTGCAGGACGGAGTGGAGAAACACCTGCTGAGGGARGCCTTTAAAGGCCTCAACCTGATCCCTGATGAGATCCTGTGGAGGCGTAAAGAAGCTTTCAGTGATGGTGTGATGTCTGTCAAGAAGTCCTGGCACAGCTGCCTCCAGGAGCATCTTCAGACTCAGGTGTGTATTGTCATGGTACCAGGACCACTACAACCAGAGGTCCACTAATGTTTTCTGCAGTCCATGATGTGTAGAAATCAGAGGGGCCCATGGTTAGTGTCTAAAGTCTTTGTTCAGTGTGTGCTTGTCATTTATCAAAACATTGTGTTTATGGTGAAGTACGGTACAGGAGAGGCRCCCAACCTTTTTAGACTGGTGTACCCCTGAGCCATTTTGCCATACTAGTACCTAGGGGTGTAAGAAAATATCGTTACACTGAAATATCGCAATATTTCATTTCCCGATACTGTATCGATATTCTAAAGTCCTGTATCGATTTTTTTTATTAAGGTTTAAAATGTCAACTTTCCTGCCAGCCGTTCATTTTTATGTTGTAGTTCAGCCTCTGACCACTAGTTGGCAGCAG